GGAAGTGTAAATTGTGTCTGGAGTAAAAATTAGCAATCATTACCTTTTAAAAACCAAAACATCATACTAAACAAAAACAAAAAAAAAATGAAATAATGGGAAAATGCAGACATTTAAACAAGTACCTACTTTGCTGTCTAAATACTAATATAAATGAAAGAAATACAAGATGCAACTCCATCACAAACACAAACCACCATACCTAACATCTAATCCATACAAACTCCAAACATAATCCCTCCAGAAAAGAGTAACCACAATATCAACAAAATAATACTCAACCATACAAAACACACACAAACCGAACATATACAAATTACCACAACCACACTTCTGGCAAAAACACAAACATACTAAATATAAAAAAGTAAGAAAACAACATACACCAAGCACACATTAAGTAAAGGCAAATAACACTACATACTAAAAATACATATACATTTAACATCCAGAACTACATGAATAGGAGTGCGAATGTAAAAACACATGAGCATAAATACACACACACACAAATACTCAGTCAGACGTGTGCACACAAACACAAGGATACACGTGTGTGTGTATATATATATATATATATATGCACATACACAGGTACGTGTATAAACACATACAAAAATTCAACTGTGATCTTAAATGGTCAAGACAATAAACCATGAAAAGAAACAGTACAAAAGATTAGCAGTAAACCAGAGGTCAACAGAAAAGGCGAGGTGAGATGAAAAATTGAATAAATAAAAAAAGTTGAAGAAAGGGAAGGAGAAGAAGCCAACGACCAAGTAACATGACACCCATCAAGCAAAAAAGGAAAAAATAATGCACTCATACCACAATATATAAGTACAAAAAAAAAAGAAAGAAATATAAGCAGAATAGTTCAACTCCACTCTGAAAAGTAGCCCCATATCTATGTGATCATGAAACTTTGAAGCCAGCTTGATGGAAATACTGCTCAGTTAAGTGAAAATATTTTTACATATTAATTCTACATACATACGTACATACACACACATATTACTTCAAACGTTATTTTTAGTGGATACCCATGTTTGAAAGTGATGTCCCCTTTTTCTTTTTTAACAATGTGTATTATGTCTATAGGCTTATTTTCTTTAAGTTTCCTTGAGTGCACAGGCTGATAGGCACAATACGCAGAGTTTAAAAGAAAATAAAAAATAGGATGTCCAAACACTGATATTCACTAAAAATAACATTTAAAGTAATAAAAATGTTGGATTAAAAAAAATAAATCTGTTAATTCTTTATGAATCTGGACATAACATTAATCAGCTAAATGAAAAATTACATTTATTTGTATTAATCATATATATATATATATATATATATATATATATATATATATATATATATATAACAACATTAATTATATTTAGTTTAAACAGCATACCAAATATTATATCACTGTGTATCCTCCATAGTTTTCCTTTCCATTTCCTTAGTGTTGAGAGATTATTTTAGAGTGTTCTCTATTCTAAATTTGAACATAATGTTATTTTTCTTAGCATTACTTTTTCTGCATGCATAAATATAGATTTCTAAATAAAATTACTATATCTGCCTTGATAAAATTTCTCAAGGAATGAAACATTGGTATAAAAGGTTTCTTCTTTCTTTTATTAGAGCATACATATATATTAGTGTGCAGCTTATATTTTATATTATGAAGCAATTTATACAAAGAATTAAATAGCAATGTTAATGTGATTAATGGTTAAATCACTTTGCTAACAGAACTTAATGAGACGTTAACTTACTATCAATTCCTTGAATAATAAGATCCTTATATTCAAGTTGTCGGATGGAAAATTGACAATTTCAAATTGTCATCTTCAGGGCACAATTTTCTTATATGTATATAGGCAAATACTGATGTTTTTTAAATTATACTATTTTTTGACATTTGAATATGTTTTGTGGAGTGTGCCTGTCATGATGCTAGAGTTTTTGTTCAAATTGATCGAGTGAGAATTTTTTTTTTTGAATTTTGAAAAGTTAGAAATCCACAAAATTTTTTTGTTATATGTATTTATCTGTTAAAGTGAAATGGACTTAGTATAATCCAATTAGTAGAGTAAAAATTTCTTTTATTTATATTTAATATATATTTAATTGTCTGGGTATGACGATAAACTACATCTGCAGCCTGGGTAAGATGATTAACTATGTCCAACAGCAAGGCCTCTGATCAGGAGGTTTTGAGGAGTCTGGAACCATCTCTTAATTGCTGGTGTTTCCAGGTCCACCCTGACCTGGGGTGGTAGCACCTGTTAGGGTCCCAGCTATTGGCAAATAGTTAACACTCAGACTATATCCATGTTCTGGGTATGATGATAAACTACATCCACATCCTGGGTATGACGATAAACTATGTCCAACAGCAAGGCCTCTGATAATATGATTTTTGAAAAAATAATGTTGCCAGCTATATGTTTTTGAAAAAATAATGTTGACAGCTGTACATTTTTGAAAAAGTAATATTACCAGCTGTACGTTTTTGAAAAAATAATATTACCAGCTATACATTTTTGAAAAAAAATATAATAATATTACTAACTATACGTTTTTGAAAAAATAGTATTACCAGCTATACATTTTTGAAAAAATAATATTACCAGCTATACATTTTTGAAAAAAAATATTAACAGAAATAGATTTTTGACAAAGCAAAAATATTACCAGGAAAAAAAAAGTTGTCGGCATTAAATGACTGTAAAACAAACCAAGCCAATCTTTATGACATCAAATATAAACTCAACACTAATATATTTACGGCATCAGATCTGCAGCACAGTAATAATCAGAATCTTAAATTCTGTGGAAAACTCCTACAACATTAACTTTTTCTATAAATTGTTTCTTTATGATATATATATATATATATATATATATATATATATGATATTAATCAAGCTGATCTATAGCCATCCACATGAAATAAGCTTTGTATTAAAATAAAAAAGAGCTCTTTTAATAAATCAAAATATACCATTCTTACAACACTACTTTCTATTTCAAATTTGAACACATAATGTTTTTTTTTTGTTTTTTTTCAGCATTACTTTTTCTGCATGTATAAGTACAGCTTCCTTAATTCCTACATTTGCCTTGATGAAATTCCTCAAAGGCATAACATGTTACCTTGTTACAAAATGTGTTGCATTTCTTACTTCCCCTAGCAGTAAAAAGAAAAAAAAATTATTATTGTAATTTGAGTGAATCTTATTAAGTTGGGCTAATTAGCATTGACGATCTGAGGTAAAATTATAGCCTTTGATAGTAAACACTGGACATAATACTGTTCTGTAAAAATATGTCAACTTCATATACAAGAATTAATACAAATGTCAGTGTGTCACTGTGTTACACTTTTTTAACTTTATTCCGGGATGTTGTAGCCCAACATATCATACCATTTTGGAATCAGGCCAACTCTGTGAGCAAATTAAAAACATCCCGGGCCAGATCCGGACCCACAATCCTGAAATTTTGAATTTCTAAGTTTTCATTACTGCATTTGTTTTTGGCAGGTTTTTTTAATGTGATTTTTTTGTGATAAAAGTCACCCATGAAATAAAAATAATTGTTTGTACAGAAAGTAAGGACCTACGTACATCAAATTGTCTTTAAATTAAGTGATGACAGAAGAAATATTGTTGAACTTTTAAAAGTTAAGCTTAAATATTAACACAAGACATAAGTGCAGCAATCAATTTTGAGTTCTTCTGTTGTTTATTGTTGCCTATTGCATCTACTCCTCCCTAACTAATATGATGAAGGCCCAATCAAGATTGCTCTGTAGGAGCTAGCTTAAATATTGCCCAATAGGGAAGCTTTTAAACTAGTATATAATAAAATAAAGCTGGTCTTTAGCCATCAACATGATATGGTTTGTATAAAAAAAAAAAAAAAGAAACTTTTAATATAGCAACACTACTTTCTATTTTTGATAACTTGAAAAACATTATTTTAAGTCAGAATGAAATAATAAGATAAAATGTAATATAATTAATTAAATTAACCAAGTGAAGTTGGGGTGCAAATATACAAAAGCCCAAAGTATTCATTATAACAGCCACTCTGATAAGGATATATGAAGCACATATATCATAGTCTAATGTGAATGATGTGGTGACAGGTTTTGATAAAAGCAACACATAACATTGCATGTAGGGCTCAATTAGAAATACATTTAGGTTGAGTAACCCACTTTGCTTAGATGGACTCCAAAAGAAGGTGTTCCCAAGTTGCTTTGACTGACTCCTCTTTCAATCTTAGAAAAAAAAATCCTCTAGTCACCCAGCCATGATTCTCCCTCACTACTGAACAGAGATACACTATTCATAACCCCCCAAGTGACATGCCCAATTGATATTGCTTGGGCAACTGACAAGCAAATCTTTTGTACTGAATAGACCATCATAATTTACCAAGACAGAACATTTCCAATCAAGATCACAAGCCGTGTCTGGTATTTGTCATTATTATAGAGAATACTTCCTGATCACTATAATGTTAACATCTTCAATCCAGGATCAACTGATATTTATCCTACACATCCTCATAATATGCATTTCTTACTTCCCTTTTCCCCCCTCAATTTGACTCAGTAACCCTTGAGTGAACCATGGACTATATTGAGTGAACTACCAGTAAAAAAATAAAAAAATATTGTTGCAATTTGAGTAAATCTTAAGTTGGGCTAATTAGCATTGACTGTCTGAGGTAAAATTATAGCCTTTGATAGTAAACATTGGACATAATACTGTCCTATAAAAAAAATTGTCAACTTCATATACAAGAATTAGAGCAATTTCAGAGCTTTCATTTTTGCCTCTTGTGTGCTGTCAAATTTCCATGTTCCTAAAAATAATGTTTTTAGGTTCTTTTTTCATTTTGTAGCGACTGTTTAATTTTGTATATATTTAAATAACTTATGTAAAATGAAAATATAGTTAAATTACCTTTATTTTGCTTTGCAGCAACCGTGTTTTCACTGAGGGAACATGCAAGTTGTTAGCATTGGTCATCAGTGACTTAGTTGATGAAGACTGTGTCTTGCATGGTCGCTCACAGCCTGTGTCTGCTCTTATTTTTGGAACTGCATCCCTTCTTTCCAAACCTGGACAGACATTGGCCCCTTTGCTTGGCCTGTGGATTTGGTCTTGGCAAACAGGTATGTATATGAAGGGTTATTTTTGCTAAACCAGTGATTCCTAATGTGGAAGGTAACACTTTGGGGGGGGGGGGCACTATGAATTCCCAGTGGCTATATATATATATATATATGTGTGTGTGAATGTCAGTGTATCACTGTGTCACACTTTTCCAACTTTACTCCTAGAGGCTGTAGCCCAACATATACCATTTTTGAATCAGGCTGACTCTGGGAGCAAATTAAAAACCTTATGGGCCAGATCTAGACCAGCAATCCTGGCTTGGATTTTACTAATAAAAACAATTAAAGGGATACAATTCTCTTTTACTAGTAAATTAATTGGTAGCAGAAGAATTATCATTGAACTTTTAAAAGCTAAGCTTAAATATTAATACAATACTTAAATGCAGTGATCAATTTTAAGTTCTGTAGTTTGTTGCCTATTGCATAGGACAGCAGTATGTCTTGCAAAAAGAAATCTCCACTAACAGAGGACCAGATTGCAATCAAAGAGCCAAGGCTGCAATGAGGAAAAGAAAATTCTGTCCAGATGAAAACCTAATTAAAGGGACACAACTCTCTAGCTTTCAATAGCTCATGTTACAGAAATTTTGGATTCCAAAGTTTTCATTGCTGCAATTGTTTTAGTGATTTTTTTTTTTTATGTGATTTTTTTGCGACAAATTTTTTGTACAATAACAATTTTTATAACTTGGAAATAAATTTGGGAATAATTGAAATTAGTTGCAAAATCCGGCAAAAGTCACCTATGAAATAAATATAATAATTTGTATGGAAAGTAAAGACCTACATAAATCAAATTGTCTTTAAATTAAATAGCAACAGAAGAATTATTGTTGAACTTTTATACGGTAACTTTAAATATTAATGCAATACTTGAATGCAGCAATCAATTTTGAGTTCTGTAGTTTATTATTGCCTATCACATATGGCAGCAGCATGCCTCGCAAAAAGAAATCTCTGCCAACAGAAGACCAGACTTCAATCAAAAGAGCCAAGGCTGCAGTGAGTATAAGAAATTCCCATGCAAATGAAAACCCAGATCAAGCAGTAGCAAGGAGAGCTACCAATGCTGAGAATATACAAACTCCAGCCCATGCTGCATCCAGGAGAGCATTAAATACTCTTACCAAGTGGAGAGAAAGGGAAATTAGAAACACATGAACAAGCTGAATCTAAGAGAACGTCCAATGTAACCAACATAAGAAGAGTTAGGGATTCAGAATCACTAAAGTAATTAGAAACGAGGAGAGCTTCCAATGTTGTACAGCAAAGAAGATCATGACAGAATGCAGTCCAACTTGAGAAACTTGCTTATCAGTATGAAGCCAATCAAGATTACTCCTCCCTACCTTTTGTGATTGTTGGAATGCAACAAAGAATGCAACTATTGTGGAGCATTGAAGTTCAAGGATGAATCCCAGGGCCTCTGTTGCTCCAATAGAAAGATCAAACTCCAGAACTTTCCAGCTCCACCAGAACCACTCAAGTCATTGTTGGCTGGATCCACTCATGAGTTCCAGGATTTCCTGAAGAAGATTAGAGCTTACAACAATGCATTTGCAATGACTTTTTTTGGAACAAATGATGCAACTCTGCCTGCCTGACAGACCACATTCAGAATCCAAGGACAAGTACACTGTCAGATTGGTAGTCTGCAGCCTCTGCCATATGAACCCCAGAAGTTTCTCCAAATCTATTTTCTAGAAGATCACCAAGTCCAAGCTGAGACATGAAATTATCTCTTTTGAGATTTGAAAGTAAGTACAATTCTGAACCTACATGAATTTCTTCACCATATGCTCAAGAGTTCAAATCTGCCCTCCAGAGAGATTGACTGGAGAACTTTAAATTAGTCATTAGACACCTGTTGGAGAGCATGAAAGAAGATTCAATGACCCATCTACCAATGAAGTAACAGTACTTATTGTAGGTTAGAAATTCGAAAAAAAAAGGAGACATAGTGATAGAGAAACAAAATGGATCCCTAAGGAATGTTGCTGAAACACACAGGAGTTATGATGCTCTCCAATATCCGTTTATTTTCTATCAAGGGCAGGATGGTTATCACTTCCTTAGGAAAGAAAGTTTCAGCACAAGACTCCTATTGCTACTGAATCATTTTAAGAGCCAACAATTTCAATCACCTACTGAGATACAAGCAGCTCTTCAACCAGTTCTTGGTTGATATGTATGAAAAAAATTGAAACAGAGAGGTAGCTCTTTATCACATGCCACTTATGAGAGCTTTGAACAGAAAGCTACATTCACCTCCAAGATGCTGTTCAAAATGATGGCAATCCACCCAACAGTGAAAAGAAAATTACTCTTCTATCATCATTTATAGGAAGTGACATGTATGAGAAAACTCAATATGGAATTACATATGTCAGACATTTTGGAAAGCCTGACCTCTTCATTACCTTTACTGCAACCCATTATGGCATGAAATAACTAACAATTTGATAGAAGGTCAATCTGCTACTGACCGTCATTACATTGTATCTTGAGTATTTAAGCTGAAAGTTGACAAACTGTTGAATCTTTTTAGGAAAGGAAAAGTTTTTGGAGCAGTCAAGGCTCACATGTGCACCATTGAATAGCATTAAAGAAGACTGCTTCATTGTCATCTATTGATTTGGTTCAAGGAGAAAATCAAGTTGATGCTATTATCACTGCTGAACTGCCAAATCCCACTGAAGATCCAGTCCTTTATGAAATCATCAAAAGAAACATAATTCATGGCACATGTGGTTCTCTCAATATTGACAATCCTTGCATGAAGTGCAGCAAAAACTTTCCAAAGCAGTTTACCAAAGAGACCCAGTTTGATCTTGATGGCTGTCCAAAATACAAAAGAAGAAAATAGAAGATGGAGATCATGCTTTTACTCTAAATAAAGGAAGACAAGAAATTGTCATTGACAATCTGTGGGTTGTTTCTTTTTGCCAACTGCTCAACAAAGCATTTGGTGCTCACATAAATGTAGAGTAATGTAACAGCATCAAGTCAATTAAATATGTATGTAAATACATTAACAAGGGAAGTGACCAAGCAGTACTTGGTCTGGAAAACCAAAATGAAATTCAAAAGTTTCTCGTGGGTTGATACATCTCTTCCAATGAGGATGCCTGGAGGATCCTTAGCTTTCCAATTCATGACCAAAGTTCTTCAGTTCAGCACCTGTTGGTTCACTTGGAAAATGGACAAAGAGTTTACTTCATAGAAGAAGATGCAAGAGAACTGGCTGAAACTCCTAAGAGCACAACACTAATGGCATTTTTAGAACTATGTCAAAATGATGACTTTGCAAGAACAATCCTGTACCCTGAAGTTTACAAATACTACACCTACAAGGCTGGAATATTTCAGGGTCTGCCAAAGCCAGAGAAACAGAGAAATTTTGAGAGAAACAGGATACAACATGGAAGAACTGCGGCACTGTGTTCAAAACAATGAGTCCCTGTTGAACTAATACCAACAGCAGGTGTATCAGAAGGTTCTTGGTGACATTAGCAACAACAATGGAGGGTTTTTTTTCTTGGGTGTACCTGGAGGTACTGGTAAAACTTACCTTCTTTTATCTGTAGTGAGACTCCAAATAAAAGTTGCTCTAGCAGTAGCATCATCTGGAATTGCTGCTACCCTCTTTCCTGAAGGGCGTACAGCACACAGCACCTTCAATCTTCAATTGGATTTGAATTACAATGAAACCCCTATTTGCAACATCAAGAGAGGAACCAACTTAGCTAAGTTACTGAAGGAGACATGCTTCATTGTCTGAGATGAATGTACCATAGTACACATGTGAGTATTTAGGGCCTGAACAAAGCACTTCAAGATGTTAGACAGAATTCACACATCATGGGAGGTATCGCTGTGCTACTCTCTGTTGATTTTTAGACAAACATTACCAGTCATTGCAAGAGGAGCTGCAAATGAGGAAATCAATGCTTGCCTGAAAAATTATTACATCTGGATTCATGTTCAAAGACTCAGCCTGCAAATAAACATGAGTTAGAATCACAGGTGATGTTGGAGTAGGAAGATTTGCTGTTTTGTTGTTGTTGCAGCTTGGCAATGGAGCCATCAAAATGGAGATATTTCACTCTCAAATGGTTGCAGAGTTTCAGCCTCAAGTATTCAAGACTTGATTAACCATGTTTATCCAAAAATTAAACACTATTCTATGGATTCAAACTGGCTTTGTGAGGTCACCGTATTAGCTTCCAAGAATCAAACTCTGGATAACATCAACTGGAACTTTCTCCAAGAAATTCCAAAATGAAAGCATGATGTACTTTTCCATTGACACTGTGGTTAAACAAGAGCAGGCAATGAATTATTCAATAGAGTTCCTGAACTCATTGTAATCCTCCTGGAATGCCATCACACAAGCTGAAACTAAAAGAAAATGTGCTGGTTATACTATTGAGAAATCTAGATCCTCCAAAGCTTTGTAATAGAACAAGGTTAATTGTCAAGAAGATGCTTCATCATCTCTTGGAAGCAGAGATCCTTACTGGTCCAGGAAAGGAGGAAATAGTTTTAATTCCAAGAATCCCCTTAATTCTTCCAGATTTTCCTTTCGAGTTCAAATGACTTAAGTTTCCAGTGTGAGTGAACTATGAAATGTCAATCAATAAGTCCTAAAGATGATCATTGAAAGTAACTGGACTTCATCTGAAGGAACCCTGCTTTTTCTCATGGCCAAATGGGAAAACCAAAAATGTTGTTTATCATGCAGCTTTGCAAAAGTTTCAAATAAACAAATTATATCATTGTTTTGATGACAACTGTTAAATGTTTGAAAAATTTGTTCAAAGTTAATAAAATTTAATATGTACTCAATCGATGAAGTGTCATTGTTGGGTGAAAGACCCAATCAGGAGGAGCTAGCTTAAATGCTGCCCAATACAGCAGCTTTTAAACTACTATATATATATATATATATATATATATATATATATATATATATATATATATATATATATATA